ACTCCCCCTGCTCAAGCAATGCCACCTAGACCATGTTGCCCAGGACCCTGTCCTGACAACTTTTGAATATCACCAAGGATGGAGACTCCACTCCACAGCTTCTCTGGGCAACCTGTTCTAGGACTCGGTCGTTCCCATAGTAAAAGAGTTTTCCTCATATTCAGACAAAAGTGCCTGTGTTTCAGTTTGAGCCTGTTGCCTCTTGTCCTGTCACTCAGAACCACTGAAGAGTCTGGCCTCAGCCTCTTGACACCCTCCCTTCAAATACTTAAACACATTGATAAGGTCCCTCCCTGCCCAGTCTTCTCTTCTCCAGGCTGAACAGGCCCAGCTCTCTCACCTTTCCTCACAGGAGAGATGCTCCAGTCTCTTCATCATCTTAGGAGCCCTTCACTGGACCTGCTCCAGTAGTGCCATGTCTCTCTCTTGTACTGGGGAGCCCAGAACTGGACACAGGACTCCACGTGAGGCCTCCCCAGGGCTGAGGAGACGGGGCAGGATCACCTCCCTCACCTGCTGGCACTGTTCTTCCTAATGTACCCCAGGAGACCATTGGCCTTCTTGGCCACAAGGGCACATTGCTGGCTCACAGCTCAACTAAAGGCTTATTGTGAAACATCAGTTTGAACCACTTTCCCCTTTTGAGTACTGGGAAATGCAAACTCACGTATTACAAATGGTTCCCCCCCCCCCCCCACCTTGACTCCTCAGCTAAAGACTACGGTGCATTGGCAATATTTCTTTTTTACAGTTTCTTCACAATTTTGAGATTTGACCCTAGGCATTTTAATGCACTGCTTGCTCACTGAAAATTGTCGGTTTACTCTACAGATACAAATACAGAGGATACTCAACTTCAAAATTAGTACTAATCATTCCATCAGCGTCACTACGTGATTTTGGTTTACTCTTAAGTACAGGAAGCAGTTTACATTAAAGCCATTCCACAAAATGAGACTAAGCACTAAACAATGATTGCAAAGATGTTTTTACAACAATGTTTTATTCTATTAAATATGAAAGAGCATACAGACAGGTGTTATTTCGAGGACAAATTACACAAGGATTACACGTTCTGTCAGAAGAGCACAATAATGAAACATCTTTACATTTCAAACTGTTGTTGTTAGCTCTTAACAAACGAGTCAATTTCTTTTGCAAACAAGTCACAAGAGTGCTATTGAACTTCGGCAAATTCCCACAAAAACATCATGCTTAGTAGGATAGTTAAAATGTTGTAAAGGTGGAATCAGAATTAGATTTCTAAATAACGAGATGGAAGAGTGTTACTGCTTAATCAAGATGAATGACACTGAAATAGGATCTGACACAAAATTGGTCATCCGCTAAAAAACAAACCTCTTCAGACACTACATTTGAATCCGCTTTCTTTACTTGCAGAAATAGTCACCGTGATTATGTGCATTGAGTAATGAACAGAACTGGCCTGAAACATTTATAAATGTAACAGTCAAATTTTTGAAGTTCAGTAATCTTTCCACAGAAAACCATGAATCTATGTTCCAAAAGGTGGAAATCCAGCTTTCCAGCTCTTCTGTAGAGGGCCAGTCAGCCTAAGCATGATTTCCATGACTTTTATGGTTATCTCTGCAGGGGGCTATTGTATCCTAAGCGTGCATTTAGGGTAATTGCTGACGTACCGGACTGAGTTGCCACTGGCTTGTGAGAGCAATATTAGTCCGTGGAACTCCTAATATATTGGATTTTTAAACCTCAGGAAATCAGGAATGTAATTTCATTATAGTGAAAGCTCTCAGCTGGATATTCAGAAGACTATTCAGATAAAATATTAAGCATGGGAATTTAAGCATGTAGTTTGGGTTGCGTTCCTAGGGATTAATTGAGGTGTTTTATTTTAATACGTTAATACAAACATTAGCAGAGTGAAATACATACAAGCTAATGTTACTGCAGTGTATAGTTTAATTTTCAAAAGGAGCAACAAAAGCACAATTCCTAAGAATCATAATTTTTTGTAACTAAGGACTTTACTTTTGTTTTTAAAATCACAGAAGAGGGGTAGATGTTTTTGATAGCTTCCATAACATTTTGCAAAAATGCAGCTTGATCCCGCAAATGCTAGAATACACAAGCAGTCCCAGAGACTCCAGCAGGAAGACCTCCAAGCATTCTCATGTGGCAAAGAGCTGCAGGATTGTCTTTGCTTCCCCCCCCCCCCCCCAAGAATGCTCAATAAAAGTGCAATATAGTGAAGTAAATAAACTGATTATTGGATGAAAAATTTCCCAATATTCTGTATTTGTGCCTTTTGTAGGGTTGGCATTGTGGTTTGAGCAGAATCATACTGCGTTACAAGAGACGGGCAGGAGGCACCCACATTTTTTCCCAGAGCGGTAGCACCCCAAAGCAGTCCTATTGTATCATCCCATCTACAGCTAAAACATTGTGTTGCCCCGAGTTTCGCGTTATTATTTCTGTTTTGTCAAAAGCAGACATTTGTTTTGCTTTTCATTTCCACTCGGACATTTTCTCCTGCTCAGCTTCCAGGCACCCTTTCTTTTCCCACCCAGCCCCTTTTCTTCCTGAGGCATCACACATATTTTAGGGTTTGGAACTGGAGCATTTGGAGGTATCTTTTTACACTACAGGGCTGCATTTGTATCTTACAATGTTATCTCCTGCTAGACTATTATAGTTACAATATACATCTTCTAACCTGATGCCTTTCCCATAGAGATAAAGGACCATTCAGCCACTAATATATGACACTTCCTCTAAGAGTATATTTACCTTCCTCAAGCCCTCTTTTCCAAACAAATTTTGAGGGATAATTAAAAAAAAACCCTTCAACTATTAAACATTCCTTGAAGTAAACAATTTCACAGTAAAACAAAAAAATATATATACAGAAAATAGCACTTTCAAAATTAAAACTTATATACATCAGGAAAAAGTTGAGATTTTTTTCCTCATTCTTTTATCAGTGCTACATGTCTGTAGATAAGCAACATTATCACTAAGAGTTATAAAGAGAAAAAACAAGTCTATTGTGTTGGTTTTAATGCTCTTGAGAGATCAAGGAAATTCAGCATTCAATTTCATTATTATTTTAAATTAAGGTAGCAAAAGACTGTATAAGCTTAACATATTCCCCCAGTTTTGAATATCCAAGGCCTAGATCCTTCAATAGACTCTAAGCAAGCCATGCCATTGCAACTGTAGTCACCTTTGGGTACTCATTAAGTTTTCCATGGATGGGATTCAACCAGAAACTCACCAGTGGGCTTTCTCATTTTATGATTTGTTTTACAATTCTTAATGAAGTACTGTTTCAATATTAATCACAAATTTTCTGCTATTCTTTAGCAACAGTAAACTTTAACTGCAGCTGTAATACTTGTGCATGTATATCTACATTTATATAGCTAAGGTTTAACATGCTAGAACAGAATTATTTAAAGCATGAAAATTGTATCTAAACTTTCATTCTCTTATCATTAAAGATGACAATAGATTTTATTTAATTTTACATCTTAAACTAAAAAAGACTGTTCTGGGCTATTTATGGTTAACTCTTTTCCTGTGGAATGGAAAATTGCCACTCAAAACTGTTATAAATCTTTGGACAGCTAGCAAGGGCTGATGAACTATTTTCAGCATTCCTAGCTGTCAATCAGAATTTTTGATGAAATTAATATTCTACATTGCATCATCTTTTTTTAAATCTCAGGGAAAAAATGAACATTGATTTCTTTTAGTTTTAAATTCCCACAGGCAAAACTTGATATCCTTTTTTTTTTTTTTTTTTTTTTTTTTTTTAAATCTACAGATCCATGCCCTCTCTAACTGCTGGGTAACGTCAAACTTTGTATGGAAGAAGGAATGCTATGTCAACTGTTTGTATTTTTATCTTTTGGTTTTTTTCCTCTCTTAACACAGTTTAATTCATGGCAACTTCCATAAGAAAGGATAATTGGACTGAGGTGCTTATGTTTGAGTGTAACTATTTTCAAGAGAAATATTATCTTCTGTTCAACAAATATTCTAGAGATTAGTCCTATGGAAGTCAATGACAAGTGCCAAATTACTATCTTCAACAATTTCACACCAGGACTATGCTGAATCATTGGAATCTTTGAGAAGGTAGAATAGACTGTTTTTAAGAATTTGCTTTCATGTGAGAAGGAGCGTTAAATTTGTAAGCTTGAACTTAACTGATGCAAAACAATGTCTGACAAGTGCAAACCCCTGAACAAAATGTTATCATTAAATACTCAGATGACATATCCAACTCAAACACTTCCAGCCTAGGTTTTCAAGGTCATTTAAATGCCAAAAGGTGCAGACAGACATTTTTAAAATCACTCCTAAACAGTTAAGTGACTAATTCCAATTGACTGAAAAGAGCCAAAACTTTCTGGCGAGCCACTAGGTGCTTATCTGTATCTTTAGGCTTGTAAGTAAACTTAAAAGCTGGCACTTAGTATAGTAACAAGGAGTTTTCACAAGTTTAGCTACCCATAGACAAACATCACATTTGTGCCATGCAAAGGATCTTTTTAAAAACATCTGTTCAGCACTATTTTTCCATAGTTTAAATTATACATAGGCCTGAACTGTCTCCTCCTTTTCTGAGAAAAAAGGTGAAGATCTAGAAACGTTTGCTGGAGCGGTGGGAAGTAAGGGAGCAGTAGCTCACTCTGGCCTCCTAGGTTTCTCAATGGAAGAGGATGATTTGGCCCAAAGCTACCACACGGCTGCCCTACAACATGGTGCTATCATGCTGCTGCACATTTAAATGGCGTATAGCGTTGTCAGATTTTAATAACAGACATTAAACAATAGGGACGGTTTAGAGAATGGCCTTTCACTTTAATTAAAGTTGTAAAATGGCTTCACATTTCTGGGATCAGCTTTTTTAGATGGCGACGGATGTTCCAGAAAGGGATTAGAATACAAATGAATGGTCCCCCAACTAGGAAACTAAGCAGCTGTAAAAAGAAAAGTTACCGTTTTGATACCTAATTAAAATGGTCAATTGTATATATATTTTTTTAAATACTAAACTATTGCAACATTTTGAGTCATTTAAAGATGATGTGTTCAGTGTAACATGATTTATGTTTTCCAATACAAAATTGGAACATTTACTTTAAAATAAACCACCTGACTTGTTTTGGAAGTGGGTAAGTTAAACATAATAGTCAGTAAGATCACTTTTATCTTTGCATTAAATTGCAATAACCTTCTTACAAACACAAGGTTGTGATTTCCATAATGCTTATGTTTCATAATGTTTCAATGCCTTCCTAGTCATTGAAATGTGTCAACTTAGGAGCATACTTCAAAGTATGCTTTGATTATATATGGATCTACATTAAATATAGGGTACATAAGAAAAATCTTACCAGTTTTTTTTACAGGGTATCCAACAAAATTCTGTACAAAATATAAGATAATTACCCATTCTTTAATGTAATAGACACAGATGCCACTCTTTTATAAATGTACCCTTATGTTCACTTGCCAATAAAATAGTAAACAAATCAACTTTTTGAACCATTTTTTTTTATAAATTATTCAGAGTATTTTTACTGACACTCTCCAACAATATACAAAAATAATACTACAAGAGTACCAAGCAGTATGACCTACCCCTCATTTCACAGAAAAGCAGAGGCTATGGAAGGATGTTCTTACAATCAGTCGTCACTGTAGATGTCTCCTGCGAATGGTAGGTGTACGTGGCTGCCCGTGACATTGGGGAGTCGCGAGAGATCAGGAAGGTTCTGGATGCGTGACCTGAGCTCTTTCCGGACTTGGGACACTCTGGCTAGCTTGCGCTTGTACTCCTGTAATGTAGAAGCATTCAATATGAGATTCGTCTTCTAATACCATCGCTAGTATTTATTGCACTTGACATTTTCTAGATAATGGATTCCTTCAGCAAGTGAGATGACTAAATATTCTTTAATATGTGAGAATCCAGACAACAAGGTATTTTAGAGATAGAGTCATCAGCTGTAGGATTTGCTCAGCATTTGACTTTGGAACCATATCTATGGGGCTTTTTTGCTTTTGAGCTGGAAATAGATAAACACTAAACAAGAGAAAATATCCCAGCTGACACAAGTACATACATTTCTGCATGAAGCTAATAAAATGGGGTTATTCTTAGAAACTGTGGTAAGGATATTAAATACACACATGTTGCTCTAAATCAAAGAGTAGGAAGATAAATTTACTGATGTCAGAAAAGTTACTTTCAGTTTGTAATAGCGAAAGAAACAAAAAACACCAAATACCTCCCAACTAGGTCTGTTGATCAGCCCCATTAAGTTGATGAATCGTAAGTATTCAGTACTGATTATACAATAAGAATCCTATTGCATCAATACATTTATGGATTTAACCCTGCCTTCTCAGAAACTTTTTGAATAATGGATTTAGGACTTCATACTATACTGCAATACATGTCAAACCACTCCTAATCAAAATATTTAATGATTATGAAGCACTTTTCACATGAAAACTAACACTATACAAGATAAAATATTCAACACTGTAAACCAGCGCACCGTAAGATAGTTAGTGCTCACCTATTAGGAATACTAGATGTAATGAAGAAAATCAGCTTGTATAAGATGAAGACAGAGTGAATCCAAAATATAGGAAGATTAGGCTATAATTTACTAGAATATTTATATTTTTAAAACTTGGAAACACATTTCTTTAGGGAATAGGAAAGATTTAGTATTAGCCGGGAAGCAGTGTTCCTGAAGGTAGCCTGTATTTCACATCAAGTGCACACCCTTTTTAGTGGGGCTGCAGGTTTTGCTGCAGCTAGGGAATGGCTGGAAATGACAGGAAAAAGTTACTCTACCAACTGGATATCCTTGGCTATGCAAGGATAACCAAGAACTGATGATTACGACCAATAATAATGAAAAGAGTTCTAAGTCGTCCTATAAAAGTGCCAAACATAAATACTGGCAGTTGTCAGCAAGTACAGAAACACTGCGCAAATGACTATAGATGACAGCAACCATTCCATTTACAAGGTCTGAAAATAACTTTAAATTTTTTTTTCTATATTGTTAAAAGTACAGAAAAAGAAGGAAGACCAATGAAAAGACCTTTTTGTAGTAGAACTCAAATGTTAAATAGCTGGGGCATGATCCAGACTATGGACAAGGTCCAATATCCATAAATGCAAAGTCTGCTACCATAAGCGGCAGAGCAGCCTTCTTACAAAGGGCAGTAAGACATCATCTGTAACCAACAGAAATCTCAAATTCTTAATGAGAAGGTAAAACACAGGTAAAAATAATTTAAATCTCTGCAGAGTAAGAGAGAAAAAAAAAGTGCCTCTGAATTATGACTATCAGTTCCTTAATATAATTCATATTTAAAATTGGAATATTCCATACAGTTCAGAGTCTTATGAAGTATCAAACACAGTGAAAACTATATAGATTCATAGTTAGCAGAAGTTTAAACGTTCGGTGATTGTGCATAGGACAAAGGAGCATTCCTTTTATGATGCAGATGAACAAAAAAAGTCTTGCAATTGAAAGCGCATTTTTGCTAGGAAAACAATCACTTGGTCTCATTTGCCGAAATCACTGTTACTGATGCAGGTGTTGTCAAGAAGTGGCTGTGAAAATGAAAGACTGTATCCTGACTGGTTCACAGTAATGCCCAAAGGCTACAAATACTTTACTGTTTAACATCTAACATTACAGCAGTATCCAGAGTCCTCAGTGAGCTGATTTTGTACAAGAGCCACAGTCCTTTATCTCTATCAGAGTCTACGAATCTGATAATAGAACACTTCATGCCTTTTTCACTATTTGTTTTAGTCCAGCTTGCAGGAATGTACTCCTGACTATTATTTCAGGGAACAGATTTTAAACTCATAGGAAAAGACAGGTTTCATTGTTTAGTAAAGCAAACAATTTGTCAGCATATACAACCCTACTTTTAGAGCATAGCTGGCTGGGGATTGAGCTGGCTACCCAGAAATACAACAAGCTTGAAGCTAAGAGACTTGACCTCAGTCGTGGAAAACATACTGCTGTACAGAAGAGGGCAAGTGGAACTGCAAGCAGAATCAAAATGCTCAACAGGCTCAGAATTAGTTAAAAACAAAAGCAAAAAAAATTTACAAAATAACCGCTGGAATGATTTTAAAGATCTTGTGTATAAAACAGCTGAATTCTGACCAAGCACATCGCCTGTCGATTAAGAATTGTGAAGCAGCAAATCAGCATCCCTTCAAAAGCTGAAAGTGAGAGGCCAGGCAAATAAGCACCAATCAAATTGGTAGCCATATTCTCTCAAGACTTTGCTCCAAAACCTCTGAATTGTGCCTTACATTAGATTACCAGTGGCTTGACTCCATCAAAATTCCCTTTTCCTGGTAATAAATCATTTCCATAGTAACATCACATTTCTGAAATCCATCACGGTCCATACAAATTTCATCTGGGCTTTGTTGCCTAGTGAATATCAGCTTGATCAATATTACTGAGAGAAGATTCCTTTTTCTGAATAAGGAGAATGTTCTCACAAATTCGATCTCCCATATATAGCCTTCCTCCTCAGCCAACACCATTAACATAATTCACACTCTCAGGGATTCAAAAGTCAATTAGCATTCCTTAGGCCTTTTTAGAAATAGAGACCTTTGAGAAAGTTCACTTTTAGCATTGGTTTTAGCACTACTACAAATTAACAGTATAGTAAAAATGATGTAAGGTTTCATAATTTGCTATATACTATCAACGCACTAAAAGCTACTGAATACAATTTTAACACAATTTTGGTAGTGCAAAGCTTCTGCCAGATCTGCAACTACGGATTAGATGTCCATGACAATTCTCCCCGCCAAGTAGTCTTATTGTTCACCTGATCTCGAGCAGCTAACTTTCCATGACACTCCCCAAATCATTCTACCAAATCACCAGAGATGACCAGTTTTCATGACTGGTGAGTAAGTTCAAAAGAGGGCTAATTTTCAAAGTGCAGCCGTTTCACAGTTTTGAGATACCTTCAAAGGGGATGTTTTCCCACAGTTTTAAGTCTATGCAAAATCACTAGTCACTTCCGAAAGGTTTTGCTTCTGTACCTGTAGGGCTGCTAAAATAACTTTGATTACCTGAATAGTCCTGGACTGTTGGAAGACAGGCATCAGGTATTCAGCACAAACAATGCTATTTACAGGTTTCTTTTATCATAATAGTATGCACGTGTATATACATCCTTTTACTCAGTATATGTACTGAAAGCATGATTTAATAATTAGAGTAAGAGACTGGGAATACAAACTTTAGGCTTTATTTCTGATATTGTTACTCAGTCAGAAATGCTAAATACAACTAATTGACAATTTATTCACATTGTTGACACTCTTAACTACAGAAATCCTTGTAGAGAATTTCAATTTCATTTTCATTATACTGATTTTAACATATATTTCAAATTGTATCTGTATAAACAAGGCAAAATCAAGCTATTTACTTCACACCATCAAGGACAGGCAAAAGTATGATGTTTTCTTCTGTCACACTGAGCAGAATTTGCATCGCTTGCTACCTACAGAGAGTCTTACTCTTGGGATAAATGCACAACTTCACGTATGGGGTTAAAGTCTTTTCAATTTCTTCCGTGGTCTAAGATAAGACTACTTTTAAGCAATAACTTTTGGTTTTTCCAGTCATAACAGTAGGTTTAGGAGATACAGAACAACTCATTTTGCTAATTAGAATGCCCCTAATTACTCAAGTTCCCATTATTTTGAGAGAGTACAATAGGGAGTTTTTGAACTCCCTGGCATTTAGAAATGCCAGCAATATATTGCTTCCACTTCCACACCTAGACCAAAAGTATTTCCCTGTCAAGTAAGTGCCAGACAAAAGGGCCAAATAATTTGTGATGAGACACCACAACCATCAAGAATAATAAAAATATAGGCAGGCCAATCAGGTTATTCACTGTGTAGCATAAAATATTTCCCTTCCAACTGAAATAGTTTGAAATAGATCTTCATATAGAGTTTCTGCGATCATCTTATACATATACTACAGCTAAAACAACTTGGACCTCAATGGAAACACCTTCTCCTTTACAGCGTATATCTATAAGGATACAGCATGCCTCAAAATACTGTGTAGCAGCAAATATATAGCAAAGGGAAAAAGCATGCCTGTCTGATTCCAAAGCAAGAATAAAAGATTCACAGAAACACATAAATATTTAATCGGGACCCTTGTTAGCTTTAGAAAGAAACATAAGGTGGAAATCAATAGTCTTAATACTTTTTCGGCTGTTGAGGGCATGTGGGTGCAAAAGGATCCATGGCTTGCAGGTACATCAGGCTTAAAACTGAGATCTCTGATGTTCTAGGTCAGTTCCAACCTTCTGATATCAGGTGCAGAAGTAGGTGTCCCATCCCAGCACAAAGGCTTCTCATCTGCTGTGTGCAACAGCACAGAAACCACTAGAAATCTTGAAAGCTTCAGCTGAAGGCAAGCAGCATGTGAAATCTTGACATCTAGATTTTCAAGTTCCCAAACATGGTATTTATTTATAGACTCCACCTTATAAAAACCTAGGGCATCACCCTGTCTGGGTAGCTTTCTGCAAGAAAGACTGACACCTGGCCTTAGAGGAGTCAGGTAAATCTCACTGTCCCTCAGAAAAATACATGAGCAGGGCTGAATTTTGTGCTGCCTTTAAAAACTAGACAAGCCTCAGGTTCCTCACTACTATGATTAAAGGCTCAGCCTATTCACCAGTGTTAAAGGTGTGCAAAACCCTGAAATAGCTTAGCATGGAAGACACCAAACAG